CTCACAGATAAGTATCTCTGGCCTGAGCTTTTCTAATTACCTACAGAAACTAAGCTGTCACGTCAAGGTTCCTTTCAAAGCTCCCTGAGATTCACTACAGTCCACCAGGATGGGCTGATATTCATTTGTATTTCCTCTTTTTTATTTGCTACTTCGGAATTTACCGAATGAAATCCCATTTCTGTGCTGTGCTTGGGCTCAGGTGGGAACTGGTGTCTCTGCAGCAGCGTGAAGGGAGCAGACAGTGGGATCCAAACCCACTGGGTGCTTCAGCTGGAGCCTGAATCCGAGCCCAGTTGGGATCTGACAGTGCTGCCTGATAAGGGTAATTTATTCTGAGCAGCTCGGGACACCTCTGCCAGTGCCATTTCCATATCTCTGCTCAGGGAGGGCTGATTAATGAGGATTGGAGTCAACTGAGGTACCCGAGACCAAACTCATCTCTGCTGGAGCGTCACTGCCTGACATCAGATAACTTCCTGCAGGGAGGCAGCTTTGATCAGGCTGCAGCAGTGGGGGAAATGGTTGGGAGCAATACCTGATGTTTTGCATCTGGTCCATTGTAAAAACTGTTTTCATGTTTAAAAATAAGTTTCTCTCGGGGAGGAATCGCAGCGCTGTGGCAACTGTGGGCCCAGCCCTGAGCCCTTCCCTGCACTGCTGGCGTTGCTGACAGCACCTCCTGCTCCTGCTGTCCTGATCACCCAGGGGGAATTCAATCCCTTGTGTTTTTGCAGGAGGAAATGTGCTTTTGTGTTTAGAGTTGGATGGGAGGGAAGCCCCCTGAGCTGGTATGGCTGAGGAGCTGCAGCATGTGCCTGCTGTGGGGTGCTGGGGTTAGGAGACAACATTTCCTTGGAGCCTGTGTGAAGTCCCTTTTAAAGAGGACACAGTTTTCCTCTGAGAAACCTTCCCCTGCCTCCTTCCCTGTACATGTTTGTAGCTGAACATCACAGGAACCCTGAGCCTGGGCTGAAATGGAGAACATCCTTACGACATCTCCAGCCAACACCCTCCCTCTCTAGACTAACCTGGGATGTCCATCCCTGCTGTGGGATCCTTCCAGCTGGGTTTGGATTGACAGTCAGCTCCAGAGAAAGCACAGGATGAGCTCAGGCCAGAGAACACAGAGAAAAAGTGAAGCTTCTTCCACCAAGAGAAGGTGGCTGGGATGGGGGGTCGTGTTTGTTTGTTTAACTGGAGGTCCCTGCCCTGAAGACTCTCAGTTGGGTCAGTTGTTTGCAACCCAAGCTTGTTACTGCCTAAAAACTGGTAGAACTAGATAAAGACAACAGGAATTTTCCTATAGCCCCGTGGGCTACAACAGATAATAACAAACTGGCCTGACTCTATTAAAAAGACATTTAAGCATCGGGTCATGTTGTTTAGTGGTGCTGGGATCCAGCAGAGCCAGCTGGATTCCCAGAAACCTTGCTGCACCCACTGGAAAGCAGCTGCTGGGAAAGGGCCAGTGAGGGGTTTGTCCCTCGGGCTTCAGAAGGCCAAATTCTCCTTTTCCTTTTCCTCGTTATGACTCTGACAATAGAGCTATAGAGGCACTTCTGGAGCCTCTGCTGTGCTGTACAAACAGAAGGAAGGGCAGAGCTGCCAGACTGAGCCTTGCAGCCCAGGGAAGTCCCAGTTCAGCTTTTTGTTCTGCCTTCCCAAGGAAAAGGCTGTGGGAGACACTGGGAAAGATTGTCTGCTTTGGATATCAAAGGTCTCTACAAACTTACATGGCACAAGCTGTGCTTTTTGCTGGAAAAGCACCTGAAGCAGCCACATCTCCCTTTGGAGAGCAGCTCACTTCAACCTGCTCCAGGCTGCTTCCTCTTACTGACTATTAATTGTTGAAGTGTTTTAATAACCTTTGCTCAAAGACAGCTGAAATTCCTGGCACATCACGGGACAGCTGGAGAGGATGTTTGACAGCTGTCAGTGGGAAAAGCTGTGTATCCTAAAGGGATTAAAGCCCTTGCTTTGAAGTTTCTTGCAGGTTATACAGAAAAGAAGCCAGGCTGGGAACGAGGAGTGCAGAATGACTTATGTGAGGTCACACTGCACATCGACAGGGGAGGGAAAAATTGGAATATTGGGATGTCACGGACACAGGGCCACTGTGCACCTTGGGCAGCTCCTCCAGGTGCAGCCCCAGCCCTCTCCTGAGGGCTGGAGACCCGCTGAGAGATGTTGTCCTCAGTCACTGAGCTGCTGATCTGTCCCCAATGAAATGCAGCTAATCACAGTCTGCCCCTGGATGTTTAAAGAGGGTTTAACAAGCCAAACACGAGTGCAACCCTGTTGCCTTAGAGAGGGTGTAGCTGTGAGCAAAATTTGGCCCTCTCTTCCAAACCTTGCAGTTTGTCTTGACTGCTGCATGCTTTATTTTTAGAGCATCATAAAAGGCTTTTGTTCCAAGGTATATTTAACAGGGGAGTGGAAGGGAAGTGGGAGGGTTTTGTGCAGGGAGAATGTATCTCTTGGTCTCTTTCTTCTAAACCCACCCCCTCACCAGATACTCTTGGAGGGTGGAGTATAAATGAAAAAAAAAAAAAAGAAAAGAAAAGAAAAAGAGAGAGAGAAAATAATAATTAGAAATACTGAAATCACAGTCAAAGGGATTGTCTGGGCGTCCAGGCCTGGAGGCCTCTCAGGCGCCATAAAACACACACATTATCCCAGAAAAGACGAGGGGATGGAAGGGGCAGGGCAGGGGTGGTCCCGTCTGGCAGGAGCTGGTGGAGGAGGCAGCTCAGTGCCCAGGTGGGGAGGGAGGGCTGTCCCTGCTTCCCACCAGGACACATCACACCCACTCTGGTGCGTGCTGGGCTGGCCTAAAGCTCTCTCAGGGCGGGCTGTGAGGGTCCTGTCAGGGGGGAGGTGGATGGGGAGCAGGAAAACATTTTCCTCTGGCCTTGACAAGGTGTTTGAGAGAGCTCTGGTGGTACCCAGAAGCAGCCAGACATGCACAGCCCCACAGAAGGGGCAGGTTGGTGCTGGGAGTGATGCTCCCCAGGCACCATCATTCCCAGGGGCTGGGAGAGCCCCCAGTGCTGGGGACAGGGACACAGGGAATTGCATGAGGAATGAGGCTGGATGTGAGAACCAGCACGTGTCTTCCAGCCTGGCCAAGTCTCTTGTTCAGTAAGATCCTCTCAGGAAAAAAGGTGAAGTCCTGGAGCAAAGCTAAGAAGAAACTTAATGCTAAAAAGCAGAATTAGTAAAACTAAGAGAGTCATTCACAGCTGTCCTCGGGGAATCCCAGAGAATTTGTTCAAGGAGAATCTGTGCTTTGCCTTCCCACGAGGGACCTCGTGGCTCCTCAGGCAGATTCCAGTCAGGGCACAAAGCCTTGCCAGAGACTGTCAGGCAGCACCAGGAGCCTGCTAAGGCCAGACTGGCCCTGTCTGTCCCAGTCCCACCCGAGTGGTGTTGAGCTGCAGGTGAAGCAGGGGTGGGCTTAGACCCCCAGAGGTGGAGCCAAGGCTGTGCCAGAAGCACATTAGTCACAGACCTTGGCTCTGAGCAGGCAGAAGGTTCTGGTGGGTTCATTTTCCTCCTGTCCCCTCTCCTAAAGCAGCAGTGTCATCCCTGCTGGTCTGCAAAAGGCCAAGGCTGAAAACCTGAACCAAACCCAGAGGTGGATTTGGCCTGGCAGTGGTGGCACAGGACACCTTTCACCCGGGCAAAGCCTGTCACTGCTTGGCTTTGCCAGACACATTTCTCCCTCTCTTTTCTCTGACATGGGCTTTTCCCCACAGAGGTCAGAATCCCATGCCCTGCTGTTCCCCTGCATGGGCTAGCTCAGGTTTTCTCCTCCTTCACTTTTGTTGCTGGAATTCAGTAAGTCTCACTGAAAGGTCAGAAGAAACTTGGAAATCCCCTCAGGGGATGGTGCTGCTCTGCACTACCCAGAGTCAGTGAAATACTCTCTGTCTGGGTCCTGGTAAAGGACAAGTACCCAGGACTGTGACTCTGGTCATCATCAACTGGGCAAAGCTTCATTAATTTGGACATATAATCAGAATATTGATCAACTAATGCCATGACTGCATAAGATTTGTGCTTTCCTTGGCTTAACAGGACATGTCCCTGTACTTGGTAGGGCAGTTGGGAGTGGATTATCTTAAAGGTCCCTTCCAACCCAAACCCCTCTGTGATTCTGTAATTCTATATGGGTTCTCTTCTCTTCTTTCTTTGTACTCTCAGCACTGCAAGGTCTGTGCTGTGGCATTGGTTTGATCACCAGCTCTCATGCAGCTGATTTTTGGGTATTGCTGTCCTCTGCTGTGCAAGCTTTTGGCAGCTGCTGCTCTCCAGCAATCCCGAATGGAGTTTGCATTGCTCCAGACCTTTGGTTTCCATCCCCAGAAAACAGCCTTTGCCCAGCCCCTGGCTGCCTGGCAGGCAGGAGCTCACACAGCAGAGTGGAGGGGGATCATTGCTGGCTCAGACAAAGCTCAGCCCAGCAGGTCCTTATCAGCAGATACACCAGGGTCACTCCTCGTGCTGCACTCCGAGCTGGCCCTGCTGAGCCAGGAGCCACAGAGATGTGTTAGAGGGTGTTGTACCCAAATTAATGTGCTCTGCCTTCACCTGTGCCTGTGTGGACACGCCTCGTGCCCGCTCGAGTGGGCTGGGGAGGCTGTTTGTCACCGGGGAGAGCTGCTCTGACTGTTATGTGAGCACCTCCAAAACCTCCAAACCTGCGTTCACCTGCTGAGCAGGAGCCCAGTGGGACAGTCAGTGAGTGAGACACGATGGGGGGTGAGGACGAGGGGTGGAAGCCTTTCTTTTTCCCTTTGTTTTAAGGCTTGTATCAACTTGCCTTGTAAAATCCTCTCCTGCCTTCCAAATCCAGTCAACGTTGAGTCACGGCTGAGCCCATCCTCTGCCTCCCCATTGCAACACGGATGACAGAAACCATCCAACAAGAGGGCTTGAATCCACGATGAGTTTTGTTCTGTTGCATAAAACCTTTTCCCCATTTACAGGTGAGTTGCTACAGAGGTGTTGCCAGCGTGGTATTCCCGCAGCCAGCTCCCAAAACGGTGCCTGGACTCCCCGCTGGAATAACGCTCGGCAGAAGGCAGGAGTGAACGGTATGGAAAAAGGTCATCCCAGAGACCTGCTCCTTACACATCCAGTGTAATGCAAGGATTCCCTGGGCCAGCATGACTTGGCATCTAAAGTTAGGAGGGGGGGGGGGGTTTAAAGTTATTTTTTTAAGAGGAAAATTTTAAGAGGGGGGGAAGAAAAAGCCTCCACATCTACGAAGACATTCTGGAGCGAGCAGCTGAGGGAAGGTGAGGAAAGGCAAGAAAGGGTTATCCTGTACAATTACCACATAGGAATGAGAGGAAAATAAGAGCCTTTTCTATTTCCCTAATTTATTCCCTTATATATGTATAGAGAGAGAGTATGTATTTTTATCTGTGTATTTATATATAAAGAAACAGCAAAGGACAAATCAACCCCCGATTCATAAAAATGACAGTTCCTTGGCATCGCGGGAGATGGGAACGCGTCCACCAAGCTGAAACTAATTATCACCCAGCCGAATACCTGATTCCACTCCTTTATCCTACCTCCTTCCCCCCGGAGGGCTTTTCCCTCCTTCCCCACCCACCGGCCCGTCCCCACCCTCGCGGGCCGGCAGGCAGAGGGTTACGCTGCACCTGTCTGGGTGTACCTGTCCCAGGGCACCTGTCCCGGCAGCCAATCCCGGCTCCGACCCACCTGTCAGCCAAATACCTGCACGGGAAACCTCCGCATAAATCAAACACTTCGCAGGCAATGTCTGTCTTCGCCAGGTCCTAGAAGAGAGCGGTCACCGGGATTAGCTGGCTGCGAGCATTTGGGAGACCCGGGGGAAATATGTCCAATGAACTTGAGTAAGTGGAGTTGGTTTTTTTTTTTCTCTCTCTCTCTCTCCTCTCCTGCCGGGGCTGCTCCGGGGCTGGAGGAGACTCCTGAGTTCTCTGCCTGCCCGGCTGTTGGCAAGTGCAGTTTTCCACACTTTCTGTCCCTCGGTGACCTGTTGCTGCTCTGAGGAGGAATCACTTCGTAGTGGTTTTATTTAGGAGTTGTTTAAAGTCCTGGTTCCTTTTTATCCCCAGCCTAAAACTTGACACATGGGATTTCTGTCTAGAGGCAAGTCTGCTCTGCCTCTATCCAACAAGATCTGACAGGAGCTACAGCATTTTATTTTATTTTATTAATTTTAGAAAATACCTTCCACAGTATTTACCAGTTTCTAGTTTTTGAGGGTAGGGGTTGTTGTGTCATATTCTTTTTTTTTTTTTTTTTTTTTTTTTTTTGTCGTGGTTGGAAGGAATTTTTATTGGGGTTTGTTTGCTTGTTTGGGAGGATTTGTGTTTTGCTTTCGGTTGTTTTGTTTGGGTTTTTTTGGGTTTGTTTTTTTTTAAGTAAACGGATTCACACTGTGACCCTATCAAAGAATTGTAATTGATTTTTTCCCTTTTTTTCTTCTTTTTTTTTTTTTTTAACAAGAAAAAGCGTTTTAACATATTGATCCTGCATAATTCTCCCTTCTGATTTTGGCACTTCCAAAACATTTTGGACTTTGGAGGCTGATGGTATCAGCGCAGCATATTATGCCTCACACCTCCGAAATAAAAGCAAACAAATGTCACATTGGTATGACAGGGTGTAGGAAAGGCTGAAGGAATATTGAATAATGCTGGGGAATGCTGCTGTCAATCCAGTGGTAAAGAGCTGTCTGGGTGTAGAACCCCAGTTAGTGAAATAATTTAGCAAGAAATCTATGTCCATATATATATATAATATTTATATCAAAATAAATATAACATATAGAAATAAATAAATATATATATACAGGTATGATTACACATATGGTGCTTAGGAAGGTGTTTTTTTGGATGAAAACCACATGCCTGTGTGTGTGTTTACAAGCCTGGCAGAGCTGCTGTGTCAGCTAATCCCTTCCTAATTAAGAACCCTGAAAAGGCGCAGCAGTAATTATTATTTTATGTAAATGCTGGGATCAATCTGCTTGGATTGATTAAGAGCCAGTGACTTAAAAATTTCGCTTTCTGAAGTTTCTGGGTAATTGATAGGTGATGCTTTTTAGATTCGGGAGTCGCGTTTCGCTCTCAGAGCGCCCGGAGTGCGTGTGAAGGGCTGCGGAGGGACATTGATGTATTTATCACTAATTAGGGCCCGGGCCATTACGTTGCCTGCTGAATTACACGGTTGTTTGGCTCCTGCGCTGCTAACGGGCCGTTAACCCCGCGCAGGAGAAAGGGGAGCCGAGGGAGCAGCACCGCCTTTGTCATTCACATCTCGGCTCCAAAGGCCGGTTTTTAGGACAGACCCCCGGGGTGGGGCTGTGTTTGGTCACCCCTGAAGGTAAAGGGCCCTGTGCGAGGTTTTTCCATAAATTGATGCCGAGGACACGCCTGCAGAGCTCCGGGAAAACTCCGCTTTAGTTCACTGGGGGGGAAAATTCCCTCGGGAGGTGGGTGCGGCAACCCCATCCCGCTGGTGCCTGGGCAGGGGGCAGGAGCTCCCCGGGGGGACCTTTTGGGATCACAATGGACCTGGAGCACCTCATGGAAAACTCCCCAGGGGCTGAAGGGGAGCACTGATAGGAGATAAGGGAGCTGGGAGCAAAGGAATGGCTGAAACCTTCGGCTTTGGGTTATTGTGAGGGGGGAAAGGTGTCAGGGGGAGGAGGAACCTTAAGAAGAGGCTGCTAAAGCCCCTCATCTGAGCAATGGGGCTCTGAAGGAGCTGTGAACTCCTGGGTGTAGCTTTCCAGACACCAGGAGCAGCGCTTGGAGGATCTGGAGTGGTTCTTTATCCACTCCCTACCTCGGAGGATGGATCTGAGCCCTGAACATGTGCCCAGATGTGGCTGATGTTAAGGGCGCTGTGATATCCCCATGGACTGGTCCTGTCACCCAAAATGACAGGGGGAACAATCTCATCTCTCCCTCTGGGACTTTAATTTCACAGGAAGGACGGGGGAGAGACTGGCGTGCCATGGGAGAATGGGATGTTTTGCCTATTGTAAAATATTCTAACTGATAATTTCCATAGTCTTCTGAGCTGAACTTCTGTCTAACTCTGGCAGTGTGTGGGCTTGAAAGAGTTAACCAGGAGTTACTCCCAGTTGTGGTTTTGTGGTCGAAACCATGATCGCCAGAAGCAAATTTTTGTCATGCATAAGGTGTGTTATTAAAACTTGAGTTATGCTCCTGGTGAATGAAAAGTTAAAGCCCTTTTATAAAATCCTGGCAGCAAAGCACACAAGGGATAACCAAGCTGGAGCAAGTGAGCTTTCAAGGGAGGCTGAGTTGGAGTTGTTGGTTTTTTTTTTTTCAAGTTATGTAAAGAGAAGGAGAGATTTGTAAATTAAAGAAGCAACAATCAAATAACTGCTATGCAATTCCTAACAAAGAAGTAAAAGCCCTCTGAATAAACTCCAGACTCAAAGCAGGGGTAAATCAACATTTACATAGTATCTCTGCTTTGATGCTCTGGGTCACATTTTCAACTGATTGGTACATGGGAATGATTCCAGGGAAATTTGTGGAATAGAGACAGTCACACTGATGAGGATCTTCTCCTGCTTTGTTCTGGCTGGTGTTTAAATTGTTGATCATTGTCAGGTATTCATCCAGAAATGCACTTGTACTTGGATTGCACCTGTGAGCACTTTGGTTCAGCTGACTGGCAGGGAGAGGGATCCTGGAGTAGTGTGTGCTCAGGGATGAAAAACACACTAATCCCTGGAACTGATTATTTAACATATGGTTGTATTCCATCTGAGGCTCCATTGCTAACAGCCAAGTTTGAAAGATAAGAAATGTGAAAGACTACTGGAAAAGGATGGATATAGATTGGATATTGGGAAGGAATTCTTCCCCATGAGGGTGGGGAGGCCCTGGCACAGGTTGCCCAGAGCAGCTGTGGCTGCCCCATCCCTGGAAGTGTCCAAGGCCAGGATGGATGGAGCTCTGAGCTGGGATAGTGGAAGGTGTCCTTGCCCATGGCAGGGGGTGCAACTGGATAATCCTTAAGGTCTCTTTCAACCCAAACCATTCCATGGTTCTGTCGTGGTTTGTTTCCTGTTCTTTAGGTGTTGATGTTGTTCTGGCTGGTAGCTGGTTATGGGGGGGGTGAGGGGTAGCTCTGATCCAAAACTAGTCCTTATCCCCCTTAGTTCCTAACCACGAGTGTTCAGAGGACAAGAGCAGCTGTCATTTACCCAGGTTCCAGCCTCCTGCTCTGTCAACTTTTTGTTTCTTTTCATCCTTCTGCTTTTTGCAGTCCAAGTGCTGATGCTTGTCCCTGCTCTCCAGAAATGCCTTGTTTCATAGGGTTATACCTGCAATGGGATGAATCACTTTTGTTTGGCAAAAACACTGTTTGAAGCACATTATGCTGGTTTGTTGTTTTGTTGGTTGTTTTTTTTTTTTTCTATTAACCAGCAAAGCAAAAGCCTTGTTGACCTTGGGGTTTGTGTTCACAGGACACTCTGAATCACAACAGCTCAGAGGGTATGTGCAGAGTGCATCAGCCAGGCACGTTCTCCGGGATGAAAAATCCCTCCAGGATGGGAAGACAGAGATAAAAACCAAAGGGCAGAGCCCACCCTGGCTGTATCCCAGCTCTGCAGACAGTCCACGGTGCAGCTGAGGGAGGAACAAGGATGGAACAGGACAGGGCAGGGGAGCAGCTGCTCCGTGTCGAGTGTCCTGCCCTGACACGGCCTCCTGGAGCCTCTTGGGCAACAGGACTCACCTTCAGCCAGCCTAAATCCAGGTGCCAGGTTTGATCCCTGACTGAACTTGCAGGCAATAGGGAGAGGTCAGCACATCCCAGACTAAAACAGGAGGACCAACTGTCCTGTTGGCTCTTGGGGCACGTTGAGAGTCCGAGGCTCAAACCAGGGCTCTGGAGTTAAAACCTCCTGGGGGGTCAATGTCCATCTCTGCTCTCACTGATTCCTTAATTCTTAATTCCTTAATTCTTCTTTTTCACACAGAAACATCATTTAGTGTGTCACTGCAGGCTCCTCTGATAGGATGTGATGAGGGAAGCATGGAAACTTGGGTAAAACTGGGCTCTGCTCAGTACAGTAGCACATAATAACTGGATTAAAACCAGATTTCCTGAAGAGCAGCAAAAAAAGAAACACATTTTCTTACAGAAGATTTCACGTCCCTTTATTGCTGCCATTTTTGGATTTTTGTTTTTTTTTTAATCCAAGTCTTGTAAAACTGATTTTTTTTTTAATTTTATTTTATTTAAAAGCCAAAGCTCTTGGAGTTAGGGACTAACAAAAATTAAAAAAATAAAACGGCAAGTAGGAGGTAGGATTTTGCATGTGAAAGCCGGGAGAGAAATTCATAGGCACTGAAAACAAACAAAAAAATAACTGAAAGCACCTAAACTCTTGGAGTTATGAAGCTCTTCTCATTGTGTATATTCTTCTTTATGGTGTGTGAGGGACTGGGAGCTTCAATGCAGAGTGTGTTGTGTGTTGGTGAGATGAAGGTTTGTGTCCATGAATACGTGTATATAAGGCATCTTAACTGTCCATAATGAAAATAAGAAAGAGAGTGAAGTTTACACTGATATCTCACAAGTGCCAGGTGGCAGCAGATGCTCAGGGCCTGGTTTTGTGCCCTCCCTTTGGAGGCAGACGGTCCTGAAACTCAGGGCACCCCAAAAAGGAACTGTCTGACATCACAAACTGCTTCTGGAAAAAAAAAATCAGCCGTAATTCCTGAACTGCAAACTAATTCTGTGCTGTAATTTGTTTTGTTAGGCAGGGGAGGCACTAAAGCAGGAATCATTTGTGAAATGGGATTGTGTGGGTGGATCCCTCAAGGGTGATGTT